TTGAAAGGAAGGACTTAATATAACAATCTTTTTATACTATTACAGACTACCTTTGATGCCCCAGCTGGAGTTGCACCACTGGCTTTAGACATGGCCAGTATGGGAAAAGGTCAAGTGTGGATAAATGGACAAAGTCTGGGCCGCTACTGGCCTGCTTACAAAGCATCTGGTTCTTGTGGTTACTGTAACTATGCAGGAACATATAACGAAAAGAAATGCGCAAGTAACTGTGGCGAGGCTTCTCAAAGATGGTGAGAAATATCTAGCTTGTTCAAAGTTTGTTAAAATTCTTGACATTACTAATTACTGGTTGATAATTCCAGGTATCATGTTCCTCACTCATGGCTAAAGCCAACTGGAAATTTATTGGTCCTGTTTGAGGAAGTGGGCGGTGATCCAAACGGGGTCTTTTTGGTGAGAAGGGATATAGATAGTGTATGTGCTGATATTTATGAGTGGCAGCCAAATCTTGTAAGTTATGAGATGCAATCTTCTGGCAAAGTCAGAAGTCCTGTGAGACCAAAAGCACATTTGTCATGTGGTCCTGGACAAAAAATCTCATCAATCAAGTTTGCTAGCTTTGGCACTCCTGTAGGCTCTTGTGGAAACTACCGTGAAGGAAGTTGTCATGCTCACAAGTCATATGATGCTTTCCAAAAGGTATTTTACTTGTCCTATGTTTTTTGAGCTTAAATATGTTTAGTCCCTCAAATATGCAGCAAATTTGTCTTTAGTTCTTCAAATTTAGTTATTCCCTGTACTCAAATGTCGTTGGTGAGTTTGTTACAGAAAATTCATCTATTAATGTTTTTGTTAATGAAAACATTACATTAAATCTAGCTAATGTTGCACAATTGATTCAATTTGTTATTGTAAGTGATGTTGCTGGTGGTTGAGGGGCTAGAACAAACTTTTTTTAAAATTATAAGGACTAAAAAAAGTTATATTTTAAATTTAAGAGATCAAAAGCATATTTACTTCAAATTTGAGGAGTTAAAAACATATTTAAAGCCTATCTTTCTGGGTGGGTAGGGTGCTTATATAAGGAACATTATTAATGTTTTTAGTGACAACTTAGAGTTAAATTCTGCAGGTCAAACAATCAGTTTCATGTTTATGGTCTTCTTTACTGAATACATTATTGAAGAATGACTTTGTTATTGCAGAATTGTGTTGGTCAGAGCTGGTGCACAGTGACAGTGTCACCTGAAATTTTTGGAGGAGATCCATGTCCAAATGTCATGAAGAAACTCTCAGTGGAGGCTATCTGCACCTGATCATTTTCAACCTCTGAAAATAAATGGAATAAGGGTTCCATAGTGATTTTTTCTGCAATTGAATACAGGGTTTCATATTGATTTGGCTTTACCGAGGTGAAGTTGCAGCTGAACACAACACACCATATGGTTGAAAGCCTGTGGAGACTGCTGGGGTGATTGTGGATTTGTGTGTATATATTGGTGTTGTGCTTGTTATAGTTATACTAAGGTGGAGAAAGGTGAAAAGTTACCTAATGCACATTGAGACGACATTGATTGAGTCCATGTGCAAATTGGTTTTTGTTTGTGTGGAAGTCTCTTGCTTCCTTTAATGTTATATTATTTCCATGTAGCTGTAAGGTGAAAGCAATTTAGTGCTTTCTTATAAGAAAACTATCCAATGTAATAAGGATCAGCCATATTAATTCAATCATGTTTCGCTTTTACTTGTTCTTATTTAGAGAAAGTATTGCCAATACATATTTCTACTTAGTTAAAATTTATTAAAAATTATAAAATGAGTAGGATTTAATTAGATCATAACAAATTTTTTAAAAGAATGTATTAGAGGACATGTAAGCTTTTTTGTGTGTATTTCATGCCTTGATTTCCTCCTCATCTAATTTCGGAGTTCTAAACACTAGACCAATGAAATTATCTACTCTTAAAATTTCTTATGGAAGAACAAGATATTTTTGACATGGTATTGAACAGAGTTTAAAACTAAGATCCATTTAGTTATAATTTGCCGTTGTTGGCTTAATTTGGAAAAGTCTTTCTTTTGTTAAACTATCCAACTAGATGGTTAATTAAGTTCTCATATCTCAATAATTTTGACAGTAGCAAAGTAGCTTCATGTGTAGAGCGATTTTGTTTTCTTTTTTATGTGATCATCCATGATTACAATACGAATGATTATATATATATATATATATATATATATAATTTTTTTAATTGATTCATTTCAATATAGCAAGGCTTATTATACTTGTCTTACATCGATAATTTGATATACGACATAATGTGTTTTAAGCATATATACTTAAAAAATAATATCTATAAGATTATTAAAAATGATATTAAAGTTTGAATTTAGAATTTTATGCATATTATTTTAATCTTTTATCATCGATTTTAGTAATTAACACATTTGTATTTTTTTTATTAATATATGTATTATAAAATTGTATATTTATGCTTAATATCGTAAACTTACTTTAAAATCTTTCTTGTGATAAGTAAGCTAAAGATAAGTTAAAATACTTAATTGTATCAAAATTGTTGCGGTGAAAATTCTTCATGTTGTAGGAAGTGGACATAACTCATTAAATTAATAAAAAAAAACTCATATTAAAGATTTAATCAATATAAATTTATGTGTATATTGACTTTCTAGTTTTTACACTTTATTACATATTCTCCTTTGAAAACTGTTTTTGTTTAGCATTTAGCACTCTTTTTTGGATAAAAATATAAATATGTTGATGATATTTAATCCCAAATTAGGAAAATTTAAGTAAACATAAGAAGGTTAGAAGAATAGTAAAGATTCGATGAAAATTCTCTCTCATTTTGTAGAAATAATTGGAAATCAGCATTCTGCAACCATGGTTATGGATTTACAGCCATAGTCGCTAGAATCTAGAGTGTAATCAAGAACCAACATAGAGTTGCAATCATAGCCGTGGATTCACAGCTTGAGCCATGGGATATTGGAGGGACAAAAAAGGTTCCAGAGGGTTGCAGCCATGACTGTGGATTCACAGCTCAAGCCATGGGATACTGGAGAGAAAGAAAAGGGTCCAGAGAGTCACAACCATGGCTGTCAGTCTATAGTTGTAGCGCTAGACTTACTTCACCATGAAGGAACTTCCATAGCCATAGTTGTGGCCATGTAGATTACTTGACCATGAAGGACCTTTCATAGTCATGGCTGTGGATCACAATTGTAGCGGTGGGATTAAAAATTAGATTTTCCCCTATTTTGGAGGCCAATATAAAATGGGAATTAAGAGAGAGAATGGGGAGATATGAAGCCGCAGAGAAGAACAGAGGAACAAAGCAAAATAGAGCCAAAGAAGAGATCTTGAGGCTGGATTGCTTGGGAACAAGGATCAACTTCATTTCTTCTTCTTTTCCGTTGTAATTTCTTCTTCTCCTTTGATTTTGTAATGGCCCTCACCATGAGTGGCTAGATCTTTTTGGATTGACTTTGGTGTAATTACTGACTCTTCTTCTTCTTGATTATGTATGCATTTCACTTTCATTACTTGTGTCTGATTCTTCTCTTAATGCTTATTTTGGTTTGATCACCCATTTTATGATTTTTGGTTTAGGATTAATCACCTTAGGACTCAATTTTGAGGGACCTGGTTGAGTTAATTAATGGACGTAGAAGTAATGAAACTGAAATCATATTTCTTTAAGGAAGATCTAAGGGTTAGCAAGTACTCTTGAATCCAATCCACTCTTTATACAATTGTTCTTCTAAACTTTATATTGTTGTTCTACTTTACTTCATATTGAACCAACTTTCAACCATATCAATGTTTTTCTATAAATCATTAGAATAGAAATTACTAATATCACAAATTTTTGAGGACGATACTAAACTACTACAAGGAAACTTGGTCCGCTTGCTAAAGATAGTGAGAAAATCTTTCACCAAAAACCTTTCTATAAACACTATAATAAAAAAAAAATTGTTTGTGAAAGTTTTCAAATTATTTATTACACAATTCAATCTCTTTTTTGAGTTTTTATATATTTACTTTAATTCTATCTTAATTAATTATACAAACATCACATAAATATTTGTGAAATAAAATTTATTATATTTAAGTATAATCAATCACAATATTATGTCTCTTCTAATCGTAAGTCTATTAGATTTGTTAGAGTCATTGTGTCTGAGATATTGTAGGCTTTGATGTTTGTTGGACCTTTATGATTTTGTTTTTGAAAAGACGTTTTAGTAGGTTAAGGGAGGAGAGTGTTTATAAACTATGATTGGTCTTGACTCAAGCTTAAAAATATCACATCACTTAGGAATTGAGACCAAGGAGTTAAGGGTAATTTATAAATACTCTTCCCTAAACCACCGAGACACCTTTTAAGAACAAAACCTTGACAGTCAAGCGAGTGCCAAATAGACAATACTTGGAACGCAATGATCCTAACAATATTAATAAATTTACAATTGGATACATTAACCTTAGAAGGAGAGACTAGATCACTTTTATCCCTTAGCCTCGACCATGGGCTTGTTCCCGTATGTTTACTAGTCTCACATCGCTTAGAAATAGAGACAAGGGATAGTTTATAAATACTCTCTCTTCTTAATCCACCAAGGCACAACGAAAAATACCTCGAACATAGTAATCCTAACGAGTCTAACAGACTTAGACAAATGATAATTTATAAATACTCTTCTTTCTTAACCTGCTCAAGCATCTTTCAAGGATAAAACCGACAGCCTAATGAGTATTAAAATGGATAATATCTCGAACACAAAATTGTGACAATCCAACAAATTCAAAGCAAACAATACTTCAAATATAATGATCCTAACAATATCAGTAAACTTACAATCAGAACATGCATAATTCTTTACTTGATTTTTAGCAACTTAATATATTATTTAAATTAACTAAAAATTTATTTTATAAATCTAATAAAATCAACTTTATTCAGAGATCACCCTTCAATAACTTAAACAATTCAGTAAAAATGCAGGTTAAATGTATGAAACACAAACACCCTTTGTTATAATTTAAAAACCATTCGCACGTCTGCTCCTGTATAAATACATGATCACTTTATTCATAAAACACCCTACCCTTGTATATATAACTCAAGAACCACACATATTTCCTATAGGTATATAGGAAAACTTTATTCATGAACACCACACTACAACAGAAAAGAAAAGCCCTCCATTTGTTGTCAGGATGCTATCTCCTTCACCTATAATTGGATTCCGACTCCTCCTATTCCTTGAACCTTGATTTTTTTTCCAAAAGAAAAATAAAATACGTTAATTAGTAGCAGAAAGTATAATCTTCAAACATGGAAAATGAGTCCAATCTATTCATTAGTGATGAGTAAAGGATTCAGAGCTATTAAACCATATTGTATAAGGCGTGAGAAAACGTGACACTATCAAACTTGGGCATTTTTATAATTTTGTAGATGGGCCAGTTCTGACAACTGTGACCTCCTGTGCATTATTGAATCGAATCTATTATAATTTCTAACCTTTTTTTTTTCTTTCTCAATTTCTCAAAATAAACTTGTCATGTTATCTTTTGAATTTAAATATATTTTTAGTCCCTTAAGTTTAAGGTAAAATTTGTTTGTCCCTTAAACTTAAAATTGATCTTTTAGTCCCTATAATTTCAAAAAATATTGATTTAATCCTTTAAGATCATCAACAACATAATTGATACAATTATATAATATTAATTAAGTTTAATATGATATTTTCACTAATAAGAACACTAATAAATGAATTTTGTATGATAGATTCAACAATAGGTAAATTTTTCTTTTAATATTAACTATTCAAATATGATCTATATATTTATAATTTTTATTTTTCACAAGATTTCTCATTTGATATGGTCTTTATATATTTGTGCATGTGTGTCCCACTTATATTATTTGAATTTATATGTAATATCTTATCATCTTAAAAATTAGGTTTAAATATGTTTAGCCCCTTCAAAATGAACATGTTTTGATTTTTGATTCCTATAAAAAATTTTCTCTGTTTTTTATCCCTTTAAAATTCGAAACTATAATCTTAGTCCTTATATTATGTGACTATTTTTTTTAACTATTTATGTATTCATTAGAATATTATGAGACTATTACTATTTTGTACATCTCTCAATTTGCTTCTATCCCTCTATTAGTTAACATCTAGCTTAAGAAATGTCTTGAGGACCTTTTCCAATACATGATCTTTGTCAGTCAATGTCTCGACAATAATCATCTACATACAATTGGACAACTTCTACCATCTTATTAAAGACCTTTATAATCATTCTTTGGTTTGTCGGCTAAGCATTTTTTAGCCAAAGTGCATTATTTTATAGTAGTACACTCCATTATTCGTCAAGAAGGTTGTTTTGACATTGTCCTTCGCGTACAAGGGAATTTGGTAATAACCAAAATACGCATCTATGAAAAATAAGATCTTGTAGTTCGAGAAATCGTCAACTAACTCATTAATTGGGACAACATTCACCAACCACACGAAATATTGAGTTTCTAAGATGAAATCAGCCTTCAGCAACTTAGCAATCTATTCCTAAGAATCTTTTTAATTTTATAACCAAATGGCATACTTTATTGCTATGGTCCCATATGTATCTTCTTTTGTGCCACTAGATTGAAGGTCAAATTCACCAAAAGTTAGTTGCAGTAAAATTCTGAATCAATGCCTAACAAGTCTGTCGTTGTCTAGGCAAACAAATCTTTGCTTTTCATGATCGAGTCCTCAAATTCAGTACCCACGTTTGTAATTTTTCTTTTGATTCTTCAACTTGAAAAGGCTGAGAGTCATCTACTATTACTAGATGAGGATTCTACAGGTTAACTTCATTCGTGTCCATACTTGGATCTAAATCTGCCCAGAGAACTTCAAGTTGAACTGATTTATTAGGCCTTATCCTTTAAATCTGCCGAGAGAACTTCAAGTTGAACTGATTTATTAGGCCTTATTCTTTTTCAATGTTTGTATGTCCTTTATCTTTAAGCTGAGATTGTATTGAGCTACTTGTTGGTCCCCTCTCACAGTCAACACCTACCTGAGATCTTACTCTGAGGAACTTCATAGTAAGATGTTTAGTGGAGTAATCACGCATCGTACTTTCTTGGAAATCTAGCACCAAAAACATAGATGGCATAAATCTTTTTGCCACCTCATTTCCTACAACGAGCAATGTTTACCAGGTTGCTCTCATACGGCTCAAGTTTCTCAATTCCAATTCCAATACGACTGAACTCTTCATCTACAAACATTCTCCCCACATCAACATTTTCTGTGATGATATTCCCATAATTAGATTATGTCATCAATTACATCTTTCAAATGAATGCACTTATTGGTTGTATGACCATAATCATCATGAAAAACAAAATACTTCTTTATATTCTTATGCTTCCTCCTCAAGGACCTGCAATAAATTAGTGAAATAGACATTATCATACATCCAAGATTGATTCATCACCAAGGGAGCATAGTTGTAAAACTTTCGCTTTTAATTCCCTCCTGTCAGTGTCCATCATAAGGAACATTGTTCTTTTCCCGATTCTAAAATCTATCTTGGCCTCAACCCTTGGTTTGGCCATAATGATGTGTGAGAATTGTTTGAGGGACTACCATACTTCTTGTAGATGTTGCTCCTGACTGACATATCTTGCAGCCCAAACTCAGAATTCCTCTACACTTTTGTACTTCATTTTGCCAAAGATAACGCAAAAGATGTGTTTTTTCTAATTGACTCTACCACAATACGGAGTGATATGACCTAGGTCAAATTTGGCAACAACTTTGCCTCTATGTAGATCCTTTCGAAGACTTAGAGCTATTAGACGGCCCTAGTCAATGTGTGAGAATCTTTGAGAGTTTATATGTCTGATAAAATGTAGAGCGAAAGCTGTCGTGCAACTATGAATTGACCTTTGAGGAAGGAATCAGAATCAATTAAGAGATTCTCCCTTCAACTTCCAAGGGAAAGTTCTACAAACAATTGCATCTGGTACTCCAATGAACAACATCTCGTTCAAGAATGCATTCAGATGCTTACTCGGATCTTTTTCTCCAGTGTAAGGTTAAATGAGGAAAGGAACTCGTCACTAATTTTCTATCTAGACAATAGCCAAGTGATTTGCAAAAGGATGTTGGAAGGGAACAAATCATGACCTAGTCATACAAGTCTCATACGAAGCACATGTCAGGCGAGGTCCAACATTCTTCATGAAGCATTTAGGACAATGTATGATCTAACTGCCTTGTCTATCCCTTTTGATAATTGATTGTATTTTGTATCCTTTTTCCATTTTTTCTCCTTTGTGCCTTTGGTTTAGGTCTTTAAGGGTTTCCGATCATTATCCATAATTAAGGATTTTGTATGGTATATTTAAGGCATGCGTTTCTGGATTGGATGATGATTTACACTTAGTGTTGGAGGTACATTAGTCGAGAATTGAACATATCTATTTATTTATCTATCTATTTATAATATAAAAGTATAGTTAAGCTGTATTATGACAGTATGTCATTTTAAAATAAACTTTGGGCATTGCCATGTCAGCAAAAATGCACCATCCACTTTGGAAAACCTAACCTCTCCTGCACCTCTCAAACAGATTGATAGTCCCGCCATAGTTGCTGCCACACTCCACCTCTTTCTCAATGACTACCTCCTCCTCAATATGATGCTCCTATATATCCTCCTCTCCTCCACCTCCTTTAACATCAACCTCTCCGTGCCAAGATTGTGTTCGATGAAGATAAGAGGTCATCCATTTCTATTTTGTTTTCTTTTTCCTCTTTTAGCCAGATTGACAACCCTACTATTGTCGTTGTCACGCTCCACTTCTTCCTCAACAATTACCTCGTCCACAATATGATGCCCCTATCCTACTCTTCTCCACTGCCTTCACTTGGCCAAATACAATGCTAACATCAACCTCTTTGTGATAGAACTGTGCTCGATAAGGATAAGAAGTCATTCATTTTTATTCTATTATTTTCTTTCTCTTTTGATTTTGCAAATGACTTATTCTTAAATGTATTATTAACTTGTTATATGGATGAGACAATGTTGTGTATGAGATTCTTGTTGGATAATTCAATCCTACACTTGAGATCTCTATGGATGGGTTAACACTGCATAAATCTCTTATGGATCTAAATTGTGATTGTTGATGGATAAGGTAACACTACGAACCCTAATGAATGAGAAAATATCGCGCTGCAGGATCTCGCATAACATTAAACAATAGACTTTGGGAGAATTATGAAGCTAAACTTCAAACTTTGGGAGAATCATGGAATTGAACTTTTTCTTCATCTTTACAAATTTCCTCCATTATTTTAATTTGTATGTTTTTTGTTATTTAGAAGAGTTTTAGAATTACTTTTTGAAACTATATTTTTTTTCTACAATTCGTTAATTTTAATATTTAACATAATGTTTATTTTTAATTTTTAAATATTTTTAATATTCTCAAATTATAACATATATATTTATTCATACACCCATACATCGTATGGCTCAATATCTAGTTTATAACTAAAGTCATGTAAAAATACAATAAAATGAAAAACCAAATGTGTCTAACAAGCTTATTTGTTGATATGATATAAATGATATTTAGAGAACAAATTAGTCACAAGTACTAATAGATTTAATGTTATAAAAAAATTGTTTAAGACATTAAATTCATGCAAGTCTAATAGCCTTCATCAGTTGATTTAAATGAAGTTCTTACCTCTTGTTGGAACATCTCTCTTATAGTGGCATTAAGATCTTCGTGGAAGAACAAATCATCATTTGGATTAAGCGACATTTGAACTCCTACAAAAGATTTTGCATCTATGCCTCCTTGGGAAAAATATTTCATTCTGGGGCATTGCCATATATGCACTTTTATCAAAGACGATAATTGCAGAGTATCACCACCTGAATAAAAACATATCAGACTCGGTAAAGAATCAAGAACAATGGTGTTGAGCCACTCAAACTTAATGGCTTCTGAAGTTGAATCTTCGGGTTTAGCTATTATTTCTTTCACTGATTCACATTCCTTGATTGTTATCTCCTTATTTATTTAATTTTTTTTTAGAATCTTAAAAATTTTTGTTATATAATTTTAATTGAACAAAATAAAAATAATTTGAATTTCATTGCATTTTGTTGTAATTGTTGGAAGTATTCATTCCTACTCATATTTCATTAAGTCCTTGTAGTTGATATTTAAATTATTACCTCTTATTTTTCTTCATTCTAATTATAAATCATATTTGATTTTTTTTAGTCTTTATTTAATATCTATTGTCATTTTCTTTTTAAAATTCTTTTAAACTTCTTTTTTCTTTGAGAAAAAATGTGCAATGCTAAAGAGATCAGATGAGACATTGCAAAACATGATGATAAAGAATTATAAAAAATAAAATGTCAAGTTATCAATAAATGATGATAAAGAATTATAAAAATAAAATGTCAAGTTATCAATAAATAAAATAAGTTATTTTTCCCATTATTTGCTAAATTAAATTATAATCAATATCTCTTAATTACAAATTTATCATCAATAATAACTTTTGATTAATTATGATTTAAAATTATTTTATAAATTACAAATTGTAACATTTCATTATGATTATTAATTATGACATGATTGTTTAAATTACAAATTATAATTGTTATAATTAATTACAATTTAAAATTATTTATTATTAATTACAATTTTTTGATCATGACTATCAATTTTTTTATTACATGATTCTATAAATTAATATTGTAACTAAAATATTCAATAAAATTTTTAATTTATTTTCTTCAATATTTGATACCCTATACATATATTTAAATTAATTAATAAATTTAAAATATTATTTAAATTTATACTTCTAAAATATATTTAAATTTGAAAAAATCATGCATAATATATCATCATACTTCAATTTCAAATAATTCTTCATTCATTATATAACAACTCTAAATTATATCATATATATATATATATATAAATATAATTAAAAAATAATTTGTATAATTAATATAATTTTGATTAATAACTATATTTTTACCAATAAATTTAAAATTTTTCTACAATTCGTTAATTTTAATATTTAACATAATGTTTATTTTTAATTTTTAAATATTTTTAATATTCTCAAATTATAACATATATATTTATTCATACACCCATACATCGTATGGCTCAATATCTAGTTTATAACTAAAGTCATGTAAAAATACAATAAAATGAAAAACCAAATGTGTCTAACAAGCTTATTTGTTGATATGATATAAATGATATTTAGAGAACAAATTAGTCACAAGTACTAATAGATTTAATGTTATAAAAAAATTGTTTAAGACATTAAATTCATGCAAGTCTAATAGCCTTCATCAGTTGATTTAAATGAAGTTCTTACCTCTTGTTGGAACATCTCTCTTATAGTGGCATTAAGATCTTCGTGGAAGAACAAATCATCATTTGGATTAAGCGACATTTGAACTCCTACAAAAGATTTTGCATCTATGCCTCCTTGGGAAAAATATTTCATTCTGGGGCATTGCCATATATGCACTTTTATCAAAGACGATAATTGCAGAGTATCACCACCTGAATAAAAACATATCAGACTCGGTAAAGAATCAAGAACAATGGTGTTGAGCCACTCAAACTTAATGGCTTCTGAAGTTGAATCTTCGGGTTTAGCTATTATTTCTTTCACTGATTCACATTCCTTGATTGTTATCTCCTCAAGGTTCATTAGCTTTTTTGCCATGAATGATGTAAATAAATATTGCAATTGGGGACAGTTGGATATAGACAATTTTTTCAGACAAGAGAAAGATATTGTAGCAGTAGAATGTACTAATGTTGACAAATCAGGACATTCACAAACATATAATTCGTGGAGCTTCTCACTGATTGTGTTCAACCATGATGAGTCCTGTGGTTTGATGGATTGGAGCTCATGTACTTTGTATAGTGTCAATATTCTTAACTGTCCAAGCATCCTGTCCTCACCAATTTTGGGGTTTTCAACAAGGAATATATCAGGACTACTGCGATATTTTATGCTCATTTCTGTTAAATTGGGTGCCTTTCGCAGTATTTCAATTGGCAAGATAGGCTTCTCATTCTCATCAGTGTTAAGGAACAGGGAAATTTTATTTAAATATTTGAGGCCTCCAGTAAATTGCTCTGACCTAAACCTTAAGCTTAATGCCAAAATGTGTTGCCAATCAAGTTTCAATTCCTTCAGGTTGGAAATGACCTAACAATTAAAGGCAAAACAAATCATTTAGAAGATTGTTAGAGAACAATTTTAAATCCTTCTACAAAATCTTGCTGATCTTCCTATTTGTTTTGAATGGTAAATATTAATTTATTTATTTTTATGTTTTCAAGATATTATACATTCATTTTTTTTCCATTTAAGAATTTCTTTATAAAGTTCTAGAAGATTCCTAAGAAGATAAGTAAGAAGACAAAACATTACAGGAAAATTAGAAGATGAAAAGAGAAGAAAGTTGAGTGCAGATTCTATCATGCTTACCTTTAAAAATGACATAGAAGGCAGTCTGTTAATTGAGGTACTACCTTCACGCTTACCCTTTGAGTGTGCACTTTCAAATAACTTCAATTTATTACAATCCAACACAGATAAGTTATTTAACGCAGGACATTCCATAGTGAATGTTTGAGGGTAAAAGTGAGCAAGTTGTGGCAACTCATAAAGGTTCAACATCTTTAAATGAGGGAACACAAACTTTTCTGTTACATACAATTTAAAATTATTTATTATTAATTACAATTTTTTGATCATGACTATCAATTTTTTTATTACATGATTCTATAAATTAATATTGTAACTAAAATATTCAATAAAATTTTTAATTTATTTTCTTCAATATTTGATACCCTATACATATATTTAAATTAATTAATAAATTTAAAATATTATTTAAATTTATACTTTTAAGATATATTTAAATTTAAAAAACTCATGTAAAATTTATCATTATACTTAAATTTTAAATAATTATCCATTCATTATATAACAACTCCATCATAATACAAATTAAAAATGTTTGTTTTTTCAACTCATCGTAAAAACAATGGTGATTAATAATACAAATTAATAATCATACCAACAATGGTGATTTGACACCTTTTTATTTTCAGACTTTGTACGTTACTTTATAAAACTATTTTTTTATTTCTTATAATACATAAATTAAGTATATTTTTAAATTAAATGTGATAGGTAAGTTGATATTAAAAAACTTAAAATATCTAATCTTTTTAGATCTAGCTCCTCTAAAGGGAATTATGATTTAAAGGATAAAATATAATAATAATCATTCATTAAAAAATCAATAGTGAAAAATTGTGATAAAATTAAATATATATATATATATTCTGGGTCAAACCATTTAGATGGCTCATCCTTATTGTGAGCGATCTTTATAAGTGAATGTGTGACGACATATATAATTAAAGCATGTTGCATATGATGTGTTGTTTTGGTGTGTTCATATGCTATGTGAAGTTGTATGTTGAGTGACATTGATGTGGTGAAATATGAAGTATCATATGTTGTAAGTTGCTTACTTTTGTAAGGTTGTTAAAAATCATGTTGAGATGTTTGTTGTATTGATATGTTGTAGCTCATGAGGTAATATGTGTACAATTTACATGTCGTGGGAAGTATAGATACTTCTACTTCTATACTCATATTATGTTTTTTTTCCTTTTTGTATATTAACATACCCTTGTATTTTCTTTGTGATTGGACTGCGATAATCATATTTATATGAAAATAAAATAAGGTTAAGCTAGAAGCTTCTATGTCTTTTATGATAGTTTTAGTAGTTATTGTTTGACCAACAACTTAGAATTTTATTTTACAATGTTAGATTACTATACGTGTGTATATATATATATATATATATATATATATA